GAAACAGAACCAAGAATCAAAGGGGATGCTACATTTGGGATAACTACCAAATAAAGGGCAAAGTAAATTTCATTTACAAGCTAAAGCCTGGCAAAATGCACTTCTGTATATGATGAAAAAGCAGCTTCCTTCTAATTCTGGAGCAATCTGTCCAATGCCTTGGTTGCCTGAGTCAGTCTGTCTCTCTCCCCTTTCCCTCCTGCTCTATCTGTTCTATCTCTCCCCTCCATATTAAAAAAAAATTAATTCTGTCAAAATAACTTAAAATATCCTGAAATTACAAAGCTTTTTTTTTTAATTCACATTAGTTCTTTCTATGCAGAACAGGAAAATTTAATGTACAATCTTTTCTAGAGAGACAACCTTCCCATTAATTTTTTTTCAAATTACAAGGTGAAAGAAAGGAGAGGGAGAGAGAGAGAGACAGAGAGAGAGACAGAGAGACAGAGAGACAGGGAGACAGGGAGACAGAGAGAGGGAGGTATCAGGGAGAAATTCTGGTGAACTTATCATCCAAGATCAAAGCAACCAGGTGTTTCTGATCAGTCTAAGGTAAGGTAAAGGCCCTCCAGTTGATCGTCGATTTGCTCGAGCGGGCCCAGTAATGTCTCCATTGGAGACTTTGTTGTTACTGTGTTTGGCATATCGAATACGTCACGGGGAGCTTGCCAGGCTCTGCTGTGCGGGCGAGATACTCTCGGTAGCTTGCCAGGCTCTCCGAGGGGGGCGGAGGAATCGAACTTGGGTTGGCCATGTTGGCTGCGCGCAAGGCAAACGCCCTACCGCTGTGCTGTTTGTTTGTTTATTTGTTTGGGGCAACATCAGGCAAGCTCAGGGGTTACTCCTGGTGGGACTTGGGGGACTATATGGAATGCTGGGGATCAAAATCAGGTGAGTCACATGTAAGACAAGCAACAAACCTGCTTTACTAATGCTCCAGCCCCAGGCTCCTCCACTTTTAAGAGGAGAATCTACATCAAGTTTCAAGTCTATTATTTGCATGTCAGCAGAGCATACCTATAGAAAAAAAACTATTTCCATGAACTCTTCCTAATAACTTTGCTTTTATTCATGCAATACAGGATGCGAAAAATACACTATACACTCTCAAGTACTGGTTGATACATGATAAAGAAGCATTCCTATTACAATATCAGATTAAGCAGAGTTGTTCTTAAGAAATCCAGAGGAGATTTCTAATACTTAAATATACAGAGGATATGGCTAATACAGGGTTGTTCTTTAAAAAAAAAAAACCGAAAAAAAAGGATATTTCTAATTCTCAAATAAAACTATATGTATTCCATTTCACACAACATAAAAATCACCACTATAGCATTGTCCTCCCGTTGTTCATCAATTTACTAGAGCAGGCCCAGTAATGTCTCCATTGTGAGACTCCATTGTCTCCATTGTTATTACTGTGTTTGGCATATCGAGTACGTCACGGGTAGCCTGTAAGGCTTTGCGATGCGGGTGAGATACTTTCGGTAGCTTGCCGTGCTCTCTGAGAGGGGCGGAGGGATTGAACTCAGGTCGGCCAGAGCAAGGAAAACACCCTACCACTGTGCTATCGCTCCAGCCCAACAACAATAAATCATTTAAATAAAATTAAATAAGTTGAATTACTAAAATCAATATAGAGCAACAAATTAGAGGTCAATCTTGCAAAGATTCATGAATTTACAGTCCAAACAATGACAATGTAAGAAATGATAATGCAAATTTCAAACCTTAAATATAAGTTCCATATAATTCCCAATTCTACCAGAAGCTGTCAACATTTTAAAACATTTTAAAAACTTTATTTAAAACTTCTTATCAATATGACTCTGGCAAGAAAAGAGATGAGCCAGAAAAAACTGATTTGCCTGTTCAAAACTGTACAAACCACTGATAGGAAATGCTCCTAAACCGAGTCTATATGGGTGATCTATCAAGTTCTTGTAACCAGCAGGAGAGGGAGCTTTACCCAAGATTCTGCTAGCAAATCTGACCAAAAATTTACCTCCATTGAAAGGTTCTGTTTAGTGCCTTAAATATTTAAAAATCAAATCAAGACTTTTCTTAGTCTATAGCAAGAGAAAACATTAACTTAATATAATCCACATTGTACAATACTCAACGAATATATCTGTATGTTGCAGTATACAAAATACTTAGACTGAAATGAGTATATTTCATTCCTTGAATATATATTCATAAACAAAGGCCCAAGATAAAATAAAGAAAGTTTTTTGCTATTAACCATTTACTTAAAAAATTTATGCTTCTGATTTTAAAACTGCAAAAAAATAGTGCAGTTTCATATATAAAACTCATGAAGTACTAAATCTTTTACATATCTGTAGAAATCAGAAATTTCTTAATATTCTCTTTTAAAATGTCATTGAGATTTCTTAGAATGTCAATCTTGTTTTTCTAGGAGGGACTTGGGCCACATCCATAGGTGCTGGGGACTGCCCTGGCTTAGTGCTCAGGGGTCACTCCTGGTTTGGGGTGCTTGGGGATCAAACCCCAGGATCTGCATGCAAAGTGTGTGCTCTAGCCATTGAGCTACCTCCCTGGTAACTAAAGTACCAATCTTTCATAAAGTCATATATTTTCATTTTTCTTTCACTTGATGGTACTAAAATCTGTCTATGTAGCTATCAATGGTTGACAATGTTATGCCACCAACTTTCTTTTGATTTATATGATACACTTAACTACTTTATTGATATAGATGAAGCATATCAAAATGCACAAGTTAGCAACAAAGTATATTCAGCATTAACTATAAATTCACCAAGTATTCCATTATAGATTCAATTCTAACTATTTGTATCTTACTGTTGAACATTTTCCTGACATACCTGAATTAAAGGTTGCAGGCTCCAGCCAGTCTTGGCAGAATATAGTGACAGGTGAGGAATGTAGGTATATAATTCAAACTACTTAGATTTTTAATTTTTGTCTTTTGTTTGTTTTGGAATCACGCCAAACTCATTGCTTGAGGGCCCAGGGTATCTCCTGGAGATGCTCAGAGAGCCAAGTGGTACCTGGGATCAAACCCAGGCCTCCTGCATGGAAAACATGTGCTCCACCTGTTGAGCTCTCTCTGTGACCCCAATTTGTTTCATTTTAGAAGTCACATACTTTAAAAAATAGTGCTTCAAAATATTTTTAAATGATGCAAAAATGGCATGGTGGGGGTGATTTGGGCATATTTCTTGGTGTTCAGAACTTAACTCCTGGCTCTGTGTTTAGAGCACACTCTGGTGGTGCTCAGAAGATCATATGGGGTACCAAGGATCGAACCTAGGTTGGCCACATGCAAGGCAAGTGCCTGCTGTACTATCTCTCCAGCTCTAGAAAACGATTATTAAATATCTGTATTTTGGGCAATATCTTATAAACTGCCTTAATGACTATATTAATGTCAATTAATGTACTTTAATACCAAATCAACTTTTACCTTCAAAATGAACATAAACCACTGATAGCACAAATCCACGTCATCTCTTCTAAACTGTGTTCTACAGACTGAGAAAATACGCTAGTATGGGTTAATGAAGTGTTTTTCCACATTTCTTTCATAAGGATTTAATCTGTATAGTTCACATCATCTCAAGTTCACAGAATCACAAAACAACTGTGATTCTTGTGAACACCAAACTTAAATATTGAATGTATAAATACTGAGTGACTGTCCATTTTTAGTCAGAACAGAAAGATTTAGTGTAAAATGCATTTTTATGGAAAGAGTTGGGTTTGCTGTTACCTGGGAGGGAGGGAAGTGTGCGTGTGGAGGAGGAGGGGGGCTGAGGGGAGGGGCAACCAGGCTGAGAATAAAATGTCATTAATTGGGGAAATATCCAGAATTCCAGTCATGTAGAGTAAAATTTTTTGCTAGACTGTCTCAATTGTTTTTGACCTAGCAGGTTTTCAGTTAATTTTGCTATGACAAAGTTTCATTATTTAATCACTATTCTGCTAAAAGAGTCAGCAAATAAAAATAAGCTGGCTTTTAATTTGACTCTTTTTTTCTGATAAAGAAAATATATTGCTTCTCAATTATAACACATCATCTCTTCTATTCACTTTAATGGTAAACTTTAGTGGGAGGTGTATTTTCTAAGACAAAAATGAATGCAAAGACTAACAATGAATCACTGGAGTGCAAAATTCACATTGTTTAATGAACAGTAACACTTGGGACAACTCTTCAGAATGAATCAATTAGTTAAGTCAGTTTTTTTTTTTAATTAAGTTAGTTCCTTTACTTTCCTTTTAACTTTCTTGTATCAATCATTCTCAAGAGTTGTGTTGTTTATCTTAAAGAAGTATTTCCCACTGAATGTGGAGGGCACAAATGTGAGATGGAATTCCGTTCTAAGACTTGTTAGAATTTTTTTTTTAGTAATTAGGAAGCTATATGTCCATAATAGAATGATACCAACAGGCTTCTGAAGTTTTCACTCTAGCAAGCAATAAGAAATCCAAAACAGAGTTCACTCCAGTTAAAGGATTATACAGTCTGGTAACTAAAGCAAACCGAGTTTTCTACAATTTTATATCAAGAAAGACTTTCTGAAAGAGTACACATCTATAGCCAAACTATTTGCCAAATGAAGAATAAACTAACAAGTGACAATGGAATGTATTTAGGAAAAAATACATATATATAAAAGTTATTATCAAAGGCTCATTTTAGAGAAATAAGACATTTTGAAACTTCTCAAAGAAAGAAGGAAAGATATCATCACAACAAACATCTATTTCTACTTGCACCTTTATATGAGCCTCAACACTTTTCCCCATTTGGTGAGTTACTATTAAACTTTTAGTTTGTTTCCACCCTTCTTCCAATATAAAGTCATCAATGAAACTGGCATTAACAAATGTGGTTCAAATGGCTCAATATAACAAAGAACATTTTCAGAGAAATAAATCACTTAGAAAATGGGAAATGTTGAAGTAGGCCTGGCCCGAGCCAGAACAGTGCTACTCTTACATACCTTAAGGACTTCCATGGGCACCTGGGTAGCAGAGGGAAGGGTGGTGGGCACGCTGACGTTTATAGCTGGTGTCTGACTCACGGGCACTCTCTGTTGCATGAACTGGGCTGCCTGCAGCTTCTGCTGCTGCTCCCTGCGCTCCTGCTCCTGCATCTGCTCACGCATGAGTTGCTGGCGTAGCAAGATGCGTGATGTCATACTGGAGGAGCTTATCGGAGGCTTGGAGGCCCCAGGATGCTCCTCGGAACTGCTGTGGGAAAACCAAGAAATACAACATTTAGTTTCCTAATGAGACCTTTCGTTTGCATTTCAGGGTATCCTAAATTGCACCCAGCTAAGAAATGAGCAAATATAATCTGTGCGAATATAATCAAGTCACAGAATAGTACTCCACATAATTGAAAATCAAGAGGTGACAGGATTTAAATCATTAGTCGTTGAATTAAATTAAGTCAGCTTGATTGCATCTGAGCATTTTTATCACGCGGCTTAATTTTTTTTTGACATTTTATACCACATACTACTCATCACCACCAAATATAGCGCCACCATATGAAGTGCTGAGAAGCAGAGTCTTAATGGCACCCAAATTTCCACATTTAAAAATAAATTGCTTGATTTGCTTTTTTATAACTGAACTAAATACCTGCTCCTACATGCTACCTAAACTCTTTGAGGATGTCTGAAATATTTTCTAACATGAAATAACCTAAAGAAAAGATGAACTTTGACCTAGGGAAATTATTCTTAGATACGAGAAGTGAAAAACATTCATGACAGAAGCATGGGCCAGAATGTTAACACTGTACTAGACCTTAGTCTTTGGGAATGGGGGCAGAACAAGCAGGTTGGACAACCCAATTTTCCTGTCTTTATTTGTACCATCTTTTTTCCCCTACTGATTGATCTTGGTATGCCCTCTCCTACATGTGTTCTCTGAATCCCACAAGGTCAGCTTCTAATGATGTGGGTATTTACTCTACCCAAAGTTATGTGAAATGCTTAAATATTAGTTGTACACTAAGATAAATCCCTTATAATTTTCCTAGCATTTTCAACCCCTTACCTTGTCGAATTACTGATAACAATAACAGTGACAGTGTGTTTTAACTATATCCAGAGGGAGAAAAGGTGTAACTGTGGTAATAACAGTGGAGGTTTTTCCATATTAATTGTATTATTTGTACTTAAAGCCCTAGCTCTTAGGGATTTTTGTGAGGATTAAATAAACCAAACCACACAAATGGAACCCCTGGTACAAAGAGCACAATATGGTGTGCTCAGTGTGAATTTTCTGCTCTGATTTCTTTCTTTCCTTCATTTATTTATTTATTTTGGGTGGCACCAGGAATCAAAACAGGTCCATGCACATAAGGCATAAGCTTATTACTAGTATTGTAGTTTAATGATGGTTGTTATTAGTGGTGACTTCTAGAAATTCACATTTTTTAAAACCTCTAGCAATATATTTTTCTATAACTTCTCTGCTAGGGAAATGTATGAGGCTTTGTACCCAGGAGAAAAAAAAGAGTAACACGCTAAAAAAAATTTTTTTAAAGTTATTCTTATGTCATTTTGGTTTACTTCCTTGAGTGTCAAACCCACTAGTGCATCGATTTCCTAAAAAAGTAAAATAAAACTTTAGATCATTAATCATCCTTATAAATGCCTTAAAGATGAGAACTTTCTAATTGTGCTGGTAACATAACATGTCAAAGTGGAAAGAAAGGTTGTGTTTCAATTTCACACACTTCTAGAAAACCACATAATTAAAAGTATATTCATGTTTTACTCACTCCTCACCATAGGAAATTGCAAACTCTGATTGCTCCTTATAATATAACATGGTGTGTTTTCTGCCATTAAAAAAAATGGCTTAGATATATAGTATCATGAATAGAAGCTATGTAACAAACTTAGAAAGTTCAAGTATCAAACAATATTCAAAGTATGATTCAAGTTTTAAAATGATAAACATAAGATAAAGTATGAAAATGTTACTAAGTCATTGCTAGTTTGTTATTACAGTTCTTTAAGAAAATAAATACTACAATATCAAAATCTATATAATTTCCCATATAACTTGATTTATAAATTTCATTCTAAGGCAATAATCCTAAGGAAATAATTCAAAATGGAAAACACTGAAATTACAGTTATTTATAAATTGTGAAATATTCTGAACCATTTAATTAGCCTTCTAATAAGAGATTTATTAAGTAAATTTTAACATGTTTGAATTACTGGCCAACTGCTATGATCTAATTTACAGCATGGGAATTATATCTCAATAAACTGGGATGGGAAAGTCATTTAAAAGGTTTATGCACACAATAAATTTAAAGATGTAAACTATGATATAGGAGTTTTATTATATACTATTTTTAAATGTTAATTTAAGTTTTATTGAGGTAACATGGCTTAAAACAGTGTTAAAATTAAGCTGGGAAGCATATATCACCAAAGTATTAAAAAACTCGACCTCCATAACCCACACCCTCTTCAGCTTTATAAACTTGGTTCTATTGTCAGAGTTCAAGTATTTTTGTTTTCATTTGGAAAAGTACCAGTTTTGTTTCTCTATAATCCATATAAATGATATTCTACAGCATTTCTCTTAAGACTTTTGGAGGAGGGATGGGAACTTAGGCCACACCTGGCTGTGCTCAGGGTTTACTCTTAGATCTGTGCTCTGTGCTTCATAGTACTTGGGCAACCATATCTGGATGCTGAACCTGGGTCAGCTGTGTACGAAGCAAGCATCATATACTACATATTATCTCTCCAATGCTATCATTTTTTTCTTATTCCTCTGACACTCATTTATCTTGACACTAACTGGTTCCATCTGCGTGCAACAAAAGGCAAAATTTCAACTCTTCTTATAGCTCTATAGTAGTCCACTGCTTATATATAACACAATTTCCTTATCCATGCACACACTGTTGGGACAATTGTGTTGCTTCCAGAATGTAGCTACTATACTAGCACTGCCAGGAACACAGGTGTGTATATATATTTTCACATAAATGTTTCTGTATTCTTGGGATAAATTATGAAGAGTAAAATCACTGGATCATATGGCAGTTGTGTTTTCAATTTTTTGGTATCTCCATATGGTTTTCCATAGGCTAAACTGGTTAAGAATTCCATCAACAGTGAATCAGGGTTTCTTTTGCACTCACATTCCTGCCAGAAAGGGCTATTTCTGGAATTTTTGACAAAGCCCATTCTCACTGATGTGAAGTGATACCTCAGTGTCATTCTGATTTGCATTCCCCTGCTGATCAGAAATGACGAACACTGTTTCATATGCCTGCTGGCCATCATCTCTATGTCTTCTTTCATAGAGTCTCTTCAGCTTTTCTCCCCATTTTTATATGGGGTCTTGGGATTTTGATTGCTGAGTTTTGTGAATTCCTTAAATATCCTGAATATTGATCCTTTATCAGACAAAGGGCAGAAAATATGTGAGTATTGTCTTCTATTCAGTGAGGCATTTTTTACGTTTTTCTTTTTGAATTTAAGGGACACCCCATAGTGCTCAGGACTTACTCCTAGCTCTGTGCTCAGGCATGATTCCTGACAGGCTCATGGTACAATATGAGATGCTGGGGATGGACCCTGAGTCAGCCGCATGCAAAGCACCCACCCTTCCTGCTGTGTTATCATTCCAGCTTAGGTATTTTTATTTAATTCTTGCTTCTTTCTCAGTGAATAAGCTTTCCAGACTGATGTCATCTCATTTGTTTATTTTTTACTTTTAATTTCTTTGCCAACCAAGTAGAGAACTAGTGAATCTGCAGTCTATATCATGGAGAATTCTACCAATGTTTATTTTGATACATTTTGTGGTCCTGAGTCAAACACCAAGATCTATAATCCATTTTGAATAAACACTTTTTGCTTCTTTTTTTAATTGCACTACAGTTTAAAGTCAAAATGCATGTTATAAGAATAAGTATCAAGGTAGGAACCTAAAGCTCAATATAGTCTAATTTAAAATAAATGTAGGGACCAGAGTGATGATTCAGTGCATAAGGCACTTGCGCTGCACACAACCAATTGGGTTTCCATTCCCAGCACATCATATCATCCCCTCAGAACTGCCAGGAGGATACTGAGCACATTCAGGAGTAATCTCCACACACTAGCAGATATGACCTAAGCACCAAAAACTAAAAAAAAAAAAAAAAAATGGTGAAATTAAAAGTATATGCAAATACACACCTACGACTAGCAGAAAACATATAAGGATAATCAAGGTTGCCAAAATGCTCATAAATTTTTAAATTTCTGTTCCTTTCATAGTACAGCAGGTAGGGCGTTTGCCTTGCACGTGGCTGACAAGGCCGACCCAAGTTCGATTCCTCCGCCGCCCCTCTCGGAGAGCCCAGCAAGCTACCGAGGGTATCTCACCCGCATGACAAAGCCTGGCAAGCTACCCGTGACCTATTCGTTATTCCAAACACAGTAATAACAAGTCTCACAAAGGAGACGTTACTGGGCCCGCTCAAGCAAATTGCTGAACAACTTTGATGAACAACGGGAGGACAGTGCTACAGTGCTACTTTCACCCACTGTCCACTATACTACAAATAGAGCATGGAATAATATATGCCGCTATTTTAAGAACATGAAAAGTCAGACAAATTTTACAGGGGATTAAGGCACTGCTAAACATGTAGCCAACCTCGATTCAATCCCTGGCACCATATTTGTTCTAGAGTACTGCCAAGAGTAATCACTGAATACAAAACTAGGAGTAAGTCCTGAGCACCCCTGGTATGCCACCTTTCCCTCAAAGACATAAAGAAGAAAAAAAGAACTGAGAGAGAGAGAGGGAGGAGGAGAGAGAGAGAGAGAGAGAGAGAGAGAGAGAGAGAGAGAGAGAGAGCAAGAAGAAATGACTTGAGTGATCAAGTGCTTGTGATTTTATTATCATGCACTCATCCACACAATTAAAACCTATTTATATTTATCTATATACCAGGTATGGGTCTACTCAAAGAGCCACTGTCACTGTCACTGTCCTCCTGTTGTTCATCGATTTGCTCGAGCAGGCCCAGTAACGTCTCTATAGGAGACTTTTGTACTGAAAGATCATCAGAAGAAAATGTATTTTCCCATTTTTGATTCAAAAGTTCAAGTTTTCTTTCCTAAGGAAGAGGAATGTGGGGAGCAGAGACCATAAGTAAATACATAAATAATTGCTCTTGTTACTCAAAGCCTGTCAGGTTAAAACATTCC